AACATATCTTTCTTTCACTACCTACCTACCACTACTCCTAAGGCTAGACAGGGGACCCCTGCAAGCAAAGCTTTTTACCTCTCTTCGGTGAAGGGAGGTTGCCTCTCTCGGTGGAGAGGGGTAACGGCATGTTTGGCCCTTTGCCCTAGCGTTTTAGGGTGCAGGGTTGGGGCCGCCGGTGGGGGCCCGGCTAACACAAGGACCGAGCATTTGCCAGTAACTGTGCCTCCCTTTTCGTCTTCCCCCACCCCCATCGAGTAACAGTGCTGTCGAAAGCAAACACTCTCCCACACACCACATGCAACCCGCTCACGCACGCACACCCGTGTTCGCTGAAGACCTCGGTGCGAGTTTTTTTGCCTTTAGGGTTTCAAAACATGCCACATCCGCCGTTATTTCTTAAAGTTTATTTTCTTTTTTTTTGTGCCAAAAAAGGATAACAGGAGGTTGCCATGACACCCCTTTTGTATGTAGCACCTCAACTCCCCTACCACTGAAGATCTGCCATAGCCAGCTCATGAGGGGGGAAGGGATCTAGGAACTCCGAGAGAGGACACAGGCGGATCTATTCATGATCCATCTCCTCCAATCAAGGAAAACAAGCTTGTAGTCCCTGGTAAGGGTTACATACAGACAGACAGAATGAGGGGCTCGTTCGACACTCCTTTGGGAGTCCTCGGGGCCGAAGAAAGTTTCCTTGGGGGTTTTCAAGGAAATTCCCGCCATCATTCCACCTGTCCTTGGGGATGTCGCCCGAGGACATTTCCTTCGAACGATGTCAGACAAGAAAAAAGAAAAGAAAAGAAAAAAATCAAATGTGTTTGAGGCCTTCAGCCAATAGGGTGCCGTCACGATCCAGATTCTCGGTTGTAACGTCTCTCTACCCATGTGCCCGCTCCTCTCCGTGAAACGTGGATTCCCGTGAGGTCCCTTGGGCAAAAGGAAGAAATGGCTGGGGAATCCTTGGAGCCCAAGGAGTTTCCTTCGGAGTGTTTTCACTTTTTTTTTGCCGACTGCATCCCCGAGGATAGGTGGAACGAACAATTCCTCGGGGACTTCACGCGCCCGAGGAGTGTCGGACGAGCCCCTGAATCTAACCTGTTTTCAAGGCAATACCTGCCCACCCCTCATCACCGTGATGAGGGACTGGTACAGCCTTGCTCTTGCACCACTGCTGTGGTGCCAAACTACCCTGTGGGCTTGGGAGAGATCCGGGTTGGTTGGTGTTCCCCCGTACTATACATAGACTAGCGAGAGGATGAGATACAGGTGCAGCTCCCCACCAATAGATGGAGCCTCCCCGAGAGTGATAGAGGTGTCTGCTCTTACCAGCACCCCTACCATTACCTCGGGTTGTTCGGAAAAAAAAAAAAAAAAAAAAAAAAAAAAGATAGATGAGTACTGGCAAGAAGATGAGATAGATGAGAGACAAATATAGCTTACGTTAAAATAAAATAAAAAAGAGAGAATATTTTCTCTTTCCAAGCATGGAAGTAGTAGCAGTTCAGCAACAAGATGTGGTAGCTCGCTTGGTTAGAGCTCTGGCGTTGCAACAGGGAGGTTGCAGGTTCCCCTCCGCGACCATTGACCATCAACCTCCCATGCACTCAATGAGGTGGTGCCAGTTTGGCAAGTGTCCCACGCACTTGTCCCCCAGCCAGACACAGCATAATATATATGGACCTATTGATGTTGTATGTGACGCCCAACGTCACGCCCAGCGCGACTTCCTGTTTTCGGAGTGTTAGTGGGCCTGGAAGCGCGAAGAGGGGTGTGCCAAGGATTTTTGGAAAGTGGGGGTGGAGTTCCAGGTTGGAACTGGAATCTCCTGTGTCAAGTTTCAGGGGTAGAAGTGCAAGTGGTTCCTCTAGCTCAGAGTTGGGGTGGGCGCCGTTCCCACGGCCGGGGCCGGGGAAGAGCCGGGTGCACAAACGGGGTGTTGCGGGCTTCGTTGTGGGAATGCTCGTACCTCTGTCGTCCGACGCGGAACTCAGAGTCAAAGTCTGATGAGGAGGACGAGCTGGGTTCTCATCGTTCTCTCTGGGGAGGAGTCTGACGCGTGGGCTCTGTCGGTTCGCACTCGTTGGGCTGTTGGCACTCTGGGCACGGAGGCCGGGGCCAGAATCGGGATATGGAGTCCCAAGGGGTAACTAGCAGTCGGTGATACGGGAGGACGATGTAATGGGGAGGGAAATTGGTCGTGATAGCGACGAAGCCTGGGGTGATAAAGTATTGCTGGTGTCTACTGTCGGGATACTCGGGAATTCGGGAGTCCCGGATGATTTCCAGCTGGAAATCGCCCCTACACAGTCGCTCGCGTGCGGTTGGCAGGGGTAATCAACGTTCCGCAAGTTTTGCGGTCGTCTGATCCGTTGCTGTCGGACTTGTTGTCGTCGGATCTGTTCCCTTTCCCAATATGTCCTATACTCGGGATCTCTCAGACTTTCACGGTCGGTAATCCAAAAAGGAGTTTCGACCGCCATATCCGGATCAACGGGACTCACTCACCCACATAATTCCTACGTGGCGGGATCGTAACCAGCCCCTGCATGCGTGCGTGTAAATAGCGAATCCGTTGATGGATTGCTGTCTTCACCGCGCGTACGCACTGCCAACTAGTTAAGTCCTAGGCTGCGCGTCCTGCTGGCGGAGTAATCTATTGGCGCTTGGTCCGATTGGGCATGCAACCCCGTTCCCAGAACAGCCCCTCCCTGGTTATACCCGTATGCATCAGAGGAAAGAGGGCATCAAACATTCGAAGAACAGACATATATTCCCAGCAATTCTCGTAATTCTTACACGAACACAAGTGATTGGGCTAATGGTGAGCGCACCAACCCGATCTGAGAGAATTCCGACTCGTAAATCGATACACGCGCTGCGATGCCGAAATGCCGAAAAAGCGACGAAGTTAAAACCCCACTAGTCTACTGATCACAACAAAATGAAAAAGCAAAGACAAATTGCGAGAAAGGATGCGAGATCGTTCGTCATCATACATACATACATGCATGCCAACAAAGAGATCTGAGAAGATTCGCACAGGAAATCCGAAAAATGCCGCAACAATTGGCCAACGTTGGAATCAAAATTTATATAGAAAGGAGGCAGGAAAGGACACAGTTCCACCATATCCCTCGTCTCTCTCTCTCTCTCTCTCTCTCTCTCTCTCTCTCTCTCTCTC